CGTTTTATAAAAAGCTTCCGGACCGAATGATATCGGAACGTATATCGGTATCGGAACGATCGGATCGAACAGCGGTAAGATGTAGTAAAATGCCGGAGAAATTGCGGATGACAATAAGATTTCCTGGGTTTTTTTTTCTTTTTTTGTTCCGTGCACCCCCGGCGACCGCGACGCGTTCTTTACGGGCGGATTTTTTGACGGAATTTTTTCGAAAAATCGATCGCCGGACGATTCGAGCTCGCGATCTCTCTCCTTGTTTCGTTCTTTTATTTTATTTTTTCCTTTTTTTTTTATCGATGACGCCGACCGGGACGATGTTACCTTAAAGTTGGTCTCCGCCCTAATCGATTTGGGACAAACAAGTTGCCGACCGCCGCCTGACGAGAGTTTAAATCGAACGAATGTCGTTAGGCGAGCAACCCCTGAGAGAACACTGCGACCAACATTCGAGATTGTCCCCCTTCAATTTTTAATATTATATATATTATATATAATTTAATTTTATGTATTTTATATATTTTATACATTGTATATATTATTATTCTATTATTATTATTTTCATTATTATTATTATATATATTTTATATATTATTATTCTACTATTGTTATATTTTATATATTATATATAATTCAATATTATGTATTTTATATATAACTGAACTTAATCCATACATCAAAATTGATTACAACATTTATTTATACTTATGATAATTACAATATCTCTATCTATTTATAATCGTAATAATTATAATATGTATTTTCATGTACCCATTAATTAACACATAATTTAATTCATATGGGAATTAAATTGATACGTAAACATCATAGTATAGATAGTCATCGATGAACTAAAACGAATATATTAATTAAACATGAGATGTAACTCGAATTTATTATTATTATTATTTAGCTTCTCTATCATTCGTGTCTTCAACAATCTAGATATTAATGAACTGAGTATAAGTATAATATAATATACGAAAATTATTAAATACAATAAATAAAAATATATATATTAAATCAAATATGAATCAATTGCGAAGAAACTAGATATTGAGTATAAATAAATGAATAATATATAATAATAGTAATAATAATAATAATAATAAATAGTAATAATAATAATAATAATATGATAATATATTCAAATAAATAATAATATAATAAATAACATTGCGTATACCTAATTTAACATTTATCTTCGTTTGTGCGAAGCACACATATCCGCATAGAAGCAAAAAGAAACGTTCGCGGCAAGTTTAAATATTTTTCAGGACGCGTTGAAATAAATTCCTTAATTCTCTGTCGGCATTGTGAAAAATATAAAATCGCGACCGTAGAGAGAATGCAGGAGCCCGCAATCAGCGATGCACTCGGCGCACCGTAAAACGCGCTCCATAAATCGATAAAACGAAAACATTAATACTAACCTTGGTATTTTTCCCTATGGCTTTGAATTGCACATGCGGCGACGCGGCGAGGCGTTTCAAAACGGCAGGCAACCTTGCCGTGAATTTCGCGTAAAGGAACGCCGATCCTTCGGGGGCTGCGTCGATTTTATGCATAAAAATAGTAGCGATCGATGGCTGCGAACAATGTAATAGAAAAATTATACGGACCGTGACGGAAACCGTGTTACAATAACAACGTCGTAGACGACGCCGGGGATCGTCGGACGTGGATCGCATGGGAACGAGCGTCGACGATCGTCGACAGTCGATGGAAATCGGCAGGGAATTTATTCGAACGACTCCGCCTGGCATGTGCCGTTCGACGTTCGGTACAGGGGAAATAAAGCGGAATTATTTACCGGATAAGGGGATCAATGCTTCGGCCGGTTTTCTACGGGAATGCGCGGACGTCTGCTGAATTTCGAACGTTTATACGGGGAGAGTTCGTCGACGCTCGAGCAAAACGTCCGAGCGGCCGCGTCCGCGTTTCTCGAAGGAAATCTTCGAAAGTCGTGTAAGAAATGTTCGGAAGTCGTAAGGAAATTTTCGGAGGTGGTAGAGAAGCGTTTAAAAATCGTAAAGAAATGTTCAGAAGTCGTGAAGGAATTTTTTTAAATCATATAGAAATTTTTTTTTAGAAATCATTAAAAAAAAGAATCTTGCAAGGATGCGATTTTAAATTAATCTATTTAGCATAAACGTGCCAGTTGCTCTTTCAATTGTTCTAGAAAAATTCGATACAATAATGTTAATAATAATAGTAATAATAACAATAGTAACAATAATAATAATAATATAGTAATAGCAATAATAGTAAGTAGTATTAGTATTAATAATAATAGTACTATCAGTAGAACGATAATAAAAATGAATTCGAGCC